ACTTTTTTGAAAGGAGAAGCAAAAACTTCTGTATTTCCATGTGAAACTACAATTTATTGCAAAGGAGGATGAGAAGATGGAATATTCTCACCAAAAGAAGTTTTCCAAGTCTTCTGTGGAATATTAGCAACTTGAATAGACTTTTCTTTCTTTGATATTAAAGAAATCTTTGAAAAATTAGATTTTTTATTGAAAACTTTGAAATAAACCCATTCATAAAAACTTAAATCTTCAGGGAATTCTTCAAATTCTTCCCAATAAGATTCTCATTCTTCTTTTGAAAAACTTTGACGAAATATTTTTCGAAAATTTTTAAATTCAGGAGTTTAATCAACTTTGAATTCATTTCTTCTGTCTATCTTAGAAGAAATAACATTTGTTTGATGATCAAGTCTTTCATTTTGAGTAGAAAACATATTAAAAAAAAGTTGGAGAAGCAGGTTGTTCTGATTCTTCTTTTCTTTCTGTATCTTTTTCAAAATATTGAGGTTTTGAAATATTTGGAATAAAATCAACACCAGAAAGAGAAGATGTTGAAAATCTTGCAGATTGATAAGAAGATCTAGGTTTATTTTCAGATCTCGAAGAATAAGATCTTTAAAACCTAGAGGAAGATCCTTTGAAAGTCATTTTGACGTTTCCATCTGGAAAAGTAAGAATTTGATTTGGAATTGTTTGAACAGGAGCGGGAATAGGATTTTGAACATTTTCAAAATTTCATTCTAGTCCACGACTTAAAAGATTCCAAGGAATTCTATTGGGAATCATGGTATTTGAATGAAAAGGATTACATTCAACCAAAAGACTTTCATCTTTAGGAGATGAACGTAAAGCACCAATATTGAGTTGAGTATTCATTAGCTTGTAATATATCCTGTATATTACTGCAAAAGCATTTGAACGATCATCGAAATCAAGATTTTTGGTTTGAATATGGAGATTTAAAGCATTAAGAATAACTCCATCATTGAGATTAATTGAAAATTTTGGATAACAATTTGAATAAATTGGACCACTTTCTAGATTTGACTCTAGAACGGATAATAATGAGTTTTCAAATTTGAGAAGTCTCTTATCTCGAAGAGTTAAGAGAATTGTAATGTCTAACCCAAGTCTAAACAAAGGTTTGACAACAATTTGAACTAATCCAACATGAAAATATTTAAATTTCTTCTTGTAGGATTCAATTGATTCTTTTGAAAATAGATTGATATGAGCTTTTGTTTTTTAATTGATAATGTTTGTTCAAAAGTTTTGATAACATAATTTTGAGTAAAATTAAACTTTCCAATTTCATAGATAGAATTCTTTTCTACATTTGGAATTGTCTAGTTATGCAATTTTTGTTCTATTTGAGCAACTTGAAGTTCATGACTATTGAAATCATTTTATGCATATGATGCAAATGATTGATCAATTTTTTCTTCATTTTGAAAAACATTTGAAGTATTTTCAGATCTATTTCTAGACCTCTGAAACCAATTTGAAAAAGAGGGCATAATTAAATTCAATGAAATTATAACAATTTACCACAATAAAAACAGTTAAATAAGATAAACTGATTCTTACCAAGCCTACAAACAGGACCACCCTGACACGCCTTCCCCGACTAACAACGAGCTGACCAACGTCTAATCAGTAGATATCCCGGAATCAAATCAAGTTCTCCTATTTGAACACTGCCTATAATGATAAACCACACATATATATATATACACGTGACATATGTGAACATGAACCTGAACCCATCCAAGGTCGAATCCAATCTACATGAACCGCACGGCATTTGTCTGTGCGAACTATGAAAAGATCCATGGATTGAAGGTAATGTGCATATTGGTCAGCACACTGCCCTTCATTAAAATTGAAATTTTTTGCTACTCTTATCCTTAATCTTTGTAAATTCAATCTCCAAATCTACATAGACAAGAATTCCGAAAGAACTAGATGTAAAATTACATCAATTATACATCCCAATCTTAAAATTACAGTCTTGAAATTGAAAAGAAGATTAAATACGGATGTGTAGAGTCATAATCCACCTATCCCGTAACATACTAGAAATAAAGAATACAATCAAAATTGGCCTTAAATAATAGGAGTATTGCTTAAAATAATTTCAACCATTCAATCAAATTATAATAAATTATTTCAAGACATCGCTCAACTAAAACATGAAACTAAGATTCAAAATAATAAGTACACAAACGATCTGGATTGCTCTAATATTAATTTTTCAAATACGGACAAGAATTATTTAGAAAATAAAAAACAAAGAATTCAAGATTTTTAATAGATGTTCTCGTGCATATTAAATTAGAAAACTTATATTAGGAATTTACCCAAAATTGTTCAATCAGAATTACGAACTATCAGTTTTTCGATTCAAGAATTTGATTCTTTTAACCTTCAAGCATTATTTAGTAATTTCAAAATCAAGACTGCGCTAGCGTAAGTTTTCTATTTTCTTAATTACACTAAAAAGACGAATTCTAGACTAGACAGACAAATAAAATATCATGAAAATAATTTCTTAGTTTTTCTCTTTTTGCTCGTTGAATTTGGCCTATATATGCTTATATTTATTTGCACAAAAGCATTTTCCTAGTCAATATCAAATTTGGTTTCAATTGGGAATAATTGTATTTGTAGTTCCAGAACTTTAATTATGATTATAATTAAGTCAAAAACTTTTCAAGTAATTGCAACTTAGTCCAAAACTTTTTCAAGCGACCCTAGGTACATATTCAAACATATATTATCCAAGATATAAAAATTAGATCATGTCTACCCAATCTTGACCATTCAATCTAATTTTTAGTCTTTACTTTCCACTAAAGGGAAAACATTGTATTTTCGGAATATATAAGATCAAAATAGTATATCACTGTAATACTTTTCTTTGATCAACATCATTTCCCCCTCTAATTATACTCTCTAACTTAAGTTCCATTTTTTTAAAAGTTTTATGAACTAATCACAGATTTTGGTATAATCGTCGCTAGACACTTTTAATGAAAAATACTTAAGTAGTCATTCTATCCATTTTTAAGTGTGACGATTATCAAAAAGAAATTGTGTTTTCTACTCCGTTATCTCTCAAGTTTCCAAATCATGAGATATTTAATCAATCAAATTGATGTCACCAATTGGTAATTAAAGAATTATCAAAGTCACTAAGAGACATACGCAACCATGTCTAGGGATTTCATGAAATACCAGACGATTAAATAAAAATTAATTCTTAGCATGGTCCTGTTATAGAATTAAATTCGATACATGATTCATTCATTATAGGCAAGCATACTAGTGTTACATTTAACTATTTCTACGATAAGGATAAATTGCAAACTCGAATAATTAATCAATCAAGACTATAATCTTACAATACAAGGTGCCAACACTCATGCATTGGTTGTGAACTTGTTTATAAACAAAATATAAATTGTGTTATATTATGTTTCTTCATGTAAGTACTCAACTTATATCATAACACATGATCATTTACAATTTAATTTGCATGCTTAGTATTAAATATATACAATAAATAAATAAAATCACAATTAATTTGTTGTAAAATATTATTTTATCATAGCAAAATATAATATATAAACACACAACCCAATGTATTCACAAAATGTCAAGTTTATCTTAAAAAACAATCTTCTAATTAAAATGTTATTTTATTCTTGACTAGACTTAGTTTAGAATGATCTCTCCTTTACTTGACCAAGACGATCCTAAGCTTGACTTCATATTCGATCGAGCCTAGTTGCAGCGAATTCTTCCCCTTACTTTCTAGTTCTGTGTGCATGCAAAATTTTTTAAATTAATGAGGAAATATTTTCACTCTTTTTTTTTTCCCCTCAACATTGTTGTTAGTTAGTAATAGATATAAACATTAAACACGTGATTTGAGTCACAATCATATCTAAATTACAGAGAATTATTATGACTTATCAAAAATTGACCAACAAAAGGTCAGTTGGAAAAAAAAATTCAAAATAATGTGAATAAAGAGAAGAAAGGGTGGTTTTGATCTTATCTAAACATAAAGAAGCACTCTTCGAATATCCGAACCCCTCTTTCCCAAGGCAGAAAACAACCCATGAATCAAAGATTTGATTTTTACGTGACATCCGACCTCGATCCTCCAAAAGTTATTAAAATTGCGATTCGAATGCTAGTGTTGTACGAGTCTACAATTTCAAAAAAATTGATGCAAATAGTATACAAAATCATGTTGAATCACATGATTCTTACAATCCCAACTATTACATTGGCCGAGAGATTGAAAAAACCAAATCAAATCAATTGGGACACGTGATATCAAGTAATTTGGGCTCGAGCTATGTTTCAATTTTAAATTTTACTTTTATTTAAACTCAAATCAAAATATTTACTTTCAAGAGCCACTAAATAGAAATGTTAGTCTCTACGACAAAAAAATAGATTTTTAGTACATTTTGATAAAGTTATATGAGATGTAAGATTAAAAAATTGTAGATCCTATAATTTGTGGTTAATATTAATTATTGAATTTGACTTCAATTTAATTCAATTTTTTAACTGAACAAAACGAGGACTATATGTTTTAAGCTTGTTATTGACGTATAATTGTTAATTTATTGTTAGAACTTTTATTTTATTTCAATATTTAGTAGAATCTTACTATTTACGATCCGATTCACAAGATTCCTCCATGAATTTGATCCAAAAATACGATTCTGACAACCAGTGATCCTCCCACATTTCATCATAGACCAAAAAACCATTAGACCTAACTCTTTCTCTCTAAGTCCAAAACCAAAAAGATTCACATTAGTATATTTTTTCTTGTGATCCAAGTTTATTCCCTTTGGTGATTTTACTTAGATCCCTTTATTCTTGTTTTTATTTGCATATATTGATGATTCTTTGTCCTTGGATCCCTTTATTTTTGTTTTCATTTCGTCGGTAAATAATGCTATACAAAAGAAAAAGGTGAATAAATACAGAAAATGAACATAAACTGCAATAGTCATAGTGATTGTTCTGATGAAAATATTCAGAGATATCTAGATTACATCGAAGCTTTAGAAGAAGAACGTCGCAAGATTCAAGTTTTTCAACGTGAACTCCCCATCTGTTTTGAACTTGTCACTCAAGGTATAACCCTAATATTTATATAGGCACGTGCGTAAATAAACACACAAATACTAGGTTTTAAAGACATCACCCTTTTATAGATTTTGTCGTTTTTAATGTACTTATGTTGGATTTATTGTTTTTTGATGGTTTCGTTCTTGTGGGATTTTGGTATTTTCAGAAATTGAGGCACAAAAGCAACAGTTATCAGGAATAACAACAGAGTATGATCATAATGTGATATCTGAATGTTCTGAGCAGACATCAAGTGAAGGGCCAGTTCTGGAAGAGTTTATTCCTATAAAGAGAACCTTATCCACTTCTGTTGATGACGAACAAGAATTTAAGAGGTCAAAGAATAATACTAATGTTAGTAATAATGTTAAAGTTTCAAAGAAATCGGACTGGCTTAGATCCGTCAAATTATGGAATTCAGCCCCAGATCCACCCTCCAAAGAGGTGATTTCTGTATAATAATCTCGTGTAAATGTTTGTACTAATAAGTTGTATGCACATTTATTTATTTAAATTTAGTGTTCTATTAATTTGATGTCTTGTTTTGTCAATTTTGGGGTTCAGGATTCACCAAGAAAAGTTTCAGCGATGGAGGTAAATAGAAATAGCAGTGGTGGTGCATTTCAGCCCTTTCGGAAAGAGAAAAGTACTGTATCTGCTCCACAAGGGCCAATCAGAGTGTCGGAGCCGGTCGCTACCACTAGTTCTCTGGAGGAGATAGGCCGCATCTGCGGTGGAAGTAACATGGACGAGAAGGAAGGACAGTTTCGAAGAAAACCTAGGAGGAGTTGGTCACCTGAGCTACATAGAAAATTCTTGCAAGCCCTTCAAAGACTTGGAGGTTCACAGGGTATAATTATTATCAAATGAAACTTTGACTGACATAGATGTGACTGAAATTTGCATTGATTGTTCTGGTTTATCTGATTTTACAGTTGCCACACCAAAACAAATTAGGGATTTGATGAAGGTTGAAGGTTTAACTACTGATGAAGTAAAAAGTCATTTACAGGTTTGTTTAATCAAAATATTTTCTTTGTTCAAACTCTTTTACAATTGAGCATGGCCTAAACTGGCTGTGGAAGCTTTTACTCTGAGGTGGTGCTACGAAGATCTTTATGCTTTCATTGCAGAAATATCGACTACATAGGACACGACCAGGTAATTTGATTCACAAACAAGCAGCGCAGTATTTGGTGATGGGAGGAATCTGGGCGCCGCCACATGAACACGATGCTGCAATGGCTACAATAACCACATCGGCCACTTGTAATCGAATCCATGCGCCAATTGCTTCACGGCCACAATTCTTACAAAGGCTGCAAGATAAGCAATTCCACTCCATTGATCGAGCCAGTCATACTGATGATAGAGTTCACTCTCAGTCGTCAGCTAACTCGTCTACACATACAACCACCAATTCACCAGGTTATTGATTTCTCTTGGTGCATATTTGATATGCAGTATTAGACCTTCACTGATGCTATGATGATTTTTTTTTTTTTTTTACTTGTTGGAAACGAAGGTGGGCTCATGAAACTCAAATTCTCATTGTAAAGATGAGGTTTATTTTCTTGGATTAAAGTATAGAAGTTAGGATAGAAGTTAGATGATTGTTATAAGATATTTAGTTATAATAAGTTTTATCTTTTTATTTTAATTTATTGTTTAGAATAGGATTTCTTTTCTTTATTAATTACATTTTTCTACGTTTTTTCAATTTCTTTTAGATTAGGAATTTTACATGTTTCTTTATATTAATAAGATAGGAAAATAATTTTGTATATAAATATAGATTTATTATATTCTTTTTTGATAACATCAATCATTATTCAATCAATAACAATGCAATTTATTCAAATATTCTTCTTAGTTTATTACATAATGCTTATTACTAGAATTTGATTATAACTTCCACACCAAATTGGTATCAAAGCAAGGATATTAACTTAATCTGAAGGCCGACAAAGGTCTGGGGGTGGCAGTCAAACCTCCAATGATGAATAGAGGATCGAAACAATCGAACAATAAATAAAGGATCAATTAAAACCCTTTCAGAACATCACGCAGATACTGACGGCATTGAGCTTAAAAGGAATTGCGAACCCATGGAAAAGCAAACTGGCAAGAATTTACAGACTTTAATTGCTATGAATGTTGTTTGCTTCAACAAACTTAAAACTCGACAACAGGTGGCTAAAGAGTTTTCCCGACTCCCAAGTACGTTTGTAAATACACAAGTTATCAAGGAATCTACAAGGGTCTATCGAGAATACATAATAGAGTCAAATTTGAAGAATATCAAGATTTTTAGAACACGATGCACCATCAACAACAAAGTATACAAAGTAATAATAAACCATGAGAGTAGTGAGAACTTGGTATCAAAAACATTCTTAAAAGCTTTAAATTTGTAGATTGGAAAAAAAAATCATCTTTCTATCAAGTTTCACCAGTTAAAAGGGGGGCAAGAAATTCAAAACTTGTAGGTGTTGAAAGTTTCACTTTCTCTTGGAAAGTGCTACAAAGATGAGATTATTCCCCCGTTGGGCTCCCATTAAATTAAATTTCATTTTCGTCTCTTCTATTTTTAATCACACAATCTTCTATAAAATAATATTACACGTAAATCGAATTTTTTTCTTATTTTTCAACCACTCATTTTCAAAAAAAATACTATTCCACCTATTTTAATTTGGAAAAAAGGGGCCAACCAAGGGCTATACGTGACGTGGTAGAGATGGATGATTGTCATGTACTTTGAGGAGAACCATAGTACTTAATGTAGATGCCACTTGCATAAGTCAAGATAAGAAGTATATGTTTTGGTGGTACGATAAGAAGATGGTTTTGGTAGCAAGTGACGAGCAATTTGTGAGTAATATTGTAAATAAAGAGAAAAATATCCACAAGGTAGATAATGAGGTTAAACAAGATGTAATTTAAGATAATCGAAATGGTATTGTTAGTGATACTACAACAGAGAAAGAAAAGCATGTGCAAGTTGAAAACCTGCAACCTAATGATCTCTTATACATGGAAATTAACAGTGAAAATGAGCATAAGGATGAAAAACACTCCAGTGAAATTACAATAAAAAATCCGAAGATTGGGCCTCACTCCGATGATGAACTAGTGAAGTTCATTAGTTTCTAACGAGAGAAGATGGAATTAAACTTTTCAATCATGAAGAAATCAAAGATGACATGAGTGAAGATTGCATGATTTCCTTAAGGAAGCAAGCAGAAGTAGATTTGAAAGATATTATCATCTTTGTACCAAATGATCCATTAGAGCTTAAACAATCTCCTAACAGCATAGAGACTGCATGCACTAAACTTGCTAATACATATTATAAAGATGAATGGCGAAGAGTTAAATCACGTCTTGAAAGGAAAAACTTAGGCTCAATAGAGTTAAATATTCGCTACTATTTCAAAATTGTATATACGGAGTTTCATAGAGATTGGCTCAAAGCACAGAAGATGTACGAAGTGGCCTATCATGCACTTCGAGAGGTGGTTGGCATATCAACAAGATTGCCTCCAATCCAGAGTTTAAATGAGATTAAGAGCATTGCAAAAGGCTGCATTTTAAGATGTCAATATTATTGCTGCATGGTGGAAAAGTTGTAGAAGCAATCACAAGGTTCAGCAGGCATGTTAGTTACTATAGGAGGCTTAATGGAGCTCTTGAAGTCAACTTTCTTCACTGGGAATGACTAATCATGCAATATTTAGGGTTTGCTCAGCTATTGGAGACATGCTCGGTGACTGTTCAAAAATTTTCAACTACAATTTCAGTTCCTGTAGATAAACTAACTAATGGGAATTTTATTCACCCTATTACTGCCAGTTATCAGCTCACTATCTGAATGAAAAGAATTGAAGTTTCAAATTCGCTATATCTATGTCAGAAGATGTTGGATTGATGAGTGTGGGATCTGTGGTAGCTTCTATTTACATTAGTTAGTTTGCCAAATTACTTAAGCATGAGGGTACATACACAAGTAACACAACGCAAGCCCTAACAGATGAAGAATATAATGTTTATCAAGTACACCAAAAAATTGAAATTCTTTCAATATCAGTATTGACAGAAACTTTTGACAATATTCCTCCCGATTGATTGATTTTCTTTCTTCAAACAAACCTGAGGACGAGTTTTTTCAAGTGGGAAAGAATAATGTAGGATAATCATATTGTAATTAGGATAAAAGTTAGATAATTATAATAAGATGTTTAATTGTAATAGGTTTTATCTTTTTATTCTAATATTTTGTTCCTTTTCTTTATTAATTAGAATAGGTTTTTCAATTTCTTCTAGCTTAGGATTTTTATTAGTTTCATTAATTTAGTTTCCTTATATTAATAGTGGAATAATCCTTCCTATAAATACAGAGTATTATACATTTTTTTGATAACATCAATCATTTTTCAATCAATAACAAAACAAGTTATTCCAATATTTTTCTTAGCTTATTACATGATTCTTATTACAAATATTTTATTATCGCTTTCACACCTATATATCTTGTCTCAATTATTTTCCACATCACTCCTTTTACGATCGTTTGAATGCAAAACCCTAGTTCTTTTATGCACCAGAAAAATCTACTCAATTTGTTATATTTTATACATGTACATATGTCATGCTTCCCTATTTAGTTGAATATAACCATGAGTACCTAATCAATTAAATGTGACCATGATACGCCCACCACGATTGACAAGAGGGTCAAAATAAAGGACAATCAATAAATGGTGCCATCCTTGCCGAAAGAAATGGAGAACACTATCATGAGGCAGAATCTATCTTGCTGCATGCATTGTGATCACTAATGAGTGTTAGGCATGTTGACCTCTGAAAATGGCCAACAGATGTCGTTAGAAGATGGTGTACACGTGGATATATTTCACAGTATGTAAACTATTAATATTATGTTTGTAGAAGGAGATGAACAGTAGACAATGAAAGTATATTGTATTTTCTTGTCTATATTTTCAAGATCACTTTCACTGATACAAGGATAGCTTATCTATAGTGACCAGACCAACATGGTTATCGTTGGATTGAATCCAGGAAGCCTGATCTGCCGACCCTTTGTGTCCCATCAACTCTAATGTACATTAATTACATTGATAAACTTTTGACAAGAGGTTAGTCACTCTATAAACGTAATCTGACATCCCTGACACTTATAAATTACGCACATCACATTAGCTCACATCAGTAGTCAACTCTGAAAATGTGCTTGCCCGACTCTCTTCTGGTTGTAAAGGACTTCGGATACTCAGAGAGCTCGGCAGCAGAAGGTAAACCACCTCGGAAAGCAGGATAAGGCTACGTCGGCTATTCTCAATTAAACAACCTCGGCGTTCAATGTGACAGCTTCGGATGTTAATCCCTTTTGCATGCTTGCCACATGTCCAAATATGAAGACCCCCATGTGGGTCATTTCGTATGATTAGTAACAATCGTCCCCCAAGTCTATGTACAATCATTCATGGGGTACATAGAATTTAAAATCTCTTGATCAACTTCGAACAAGGGAAGAAATCCATAATACCAGTCTCCCAAATCCATTTGTTTACATATTCTCAAGGATTTGCCAAATGTCTACGTTAGTGACCATCAGGATAGGGGCCGAGGCATATGTGCCTCATACATATAACTGGCCTTTGTTCAACGTATGTGGAGAGCCAAAGTTATTAACGCCCAAGTTGCTGAATATAAAATCCGAGGTGGTTTATATTGTTGCTAAAGTGGTTAGAGTGTCAACCAATGTTGTATATTATGTGATACGATTTGGTTAACTTGAATGTCTTTCATCATTTATTACCACAGGCTACTATGCTACCGTTTGGCCTTCTCGAGAAGGGTGGTGTTGACCTCTATAAATGGTCAACATGTGTCGTTAGGAGGTAGTGTACTCGTGGACCCGTTTGGTAGTGTTTCTACTATAAATACGTTTGTAGAAGAAGAAGAAGATAGAGACAAGGGAAAGATATATTATGTTCTATTTCTTATACAAGAAGGGAAGTATTTATAGTGTTACACGTGAGATGTTGTCCATTGGATGAAGAGTCACATGGCTTCATTTCCTTAACCAAAGCATCTAGTCCTGGCCATCATTTTTGACTTCTTAACCTGTGGTGCGTTTAATGTTCTCACAAATAGGAGTCATCTTATTGACAAGACAAGATATTTATACTTATTACAAAGGTCACATCAATCAGTTCCTAAGATACGTTTGTCAGACCTTCTGGGTGTCATTGAACTCGGTGCCAAGGGGTTACATAGGAAGACGTTAACCCACTTCGAATGAACAAGGTCAGGACCACTTTTGAGAACTCCAGTAAAACGACCTCAAAGTTCGGTGTAACAACCTTAGCTGTTGACCACTTACACAGTGCTTTGCTTTAGGGCCTTAGCC